CTAGCTGGGAGCCTGACCCGGTTCTGACCCTTTACGGGGTCCCCTGGAACGGTTCTGACCCTTTATGGGGTCCCCTGGCCCGGTTCTGACCCTTTATGGGGTCCCCTGGCCCGGTTCTGACCCTGTATGGGGTCCCCTGGCCCGGTTCTGACCCTTTATGGGGTCTCCTGGCTGGAAGCCTTACCCGGTTCTGGACTCACCCGGTTCTGACCCTTTATAAGGCCACTGACCCTGTTCTGACCCTTTATTGGGTCCCCCTAGCTGGGAACCTGATCTGGTTCTGACCCTTTATGAGGCCCCTTGGTTGGGAGCCTGATCCGGTTCTGACCCGTTATGAGGTCCGTGTTCTGTTTGCTCCTTCACAGCTTCCCAGATTGTGTTTTCCGCCTTATTTACCCAACTTCCCGTCACCCCATTTAAGCTCTCTGCTGATTGTAGTTAACTAAGTAGCTTAGCTAACTACCGGTAGCTAACTAGCTAACCGGTAGTTAGCTAACTAATAGGTAGCTTAGCTAACTGATGACCAAAGGGCTTTAGAGGCGCCGCCAGCAATCAGCAATACAAGCTATAAAATACAATAAAAACTACTCATCAAAATAATCAAATAAAATAATAATATAAAAATAAGTGGATAAGATTTCTGGACTCAAATTGTTATGAAAGCTAAACACAAAAGATAAGAAAGAGTTGAAATCAGCATCGTCCCTGCAGCTGGGAGGCCGATTCCTTGCATGGGGATGGAGACTGAAAAGGCCCAGCCCCCCTAATTTCTGAGTCTGGGTCCTCTAACTGGAGTACTTTATGTTGTTTTTTTGTTAGGGTTAAGGCAGTAAATGATGCAAAAAAAATATGGCAAGTAAACCCTTAAGTGGTTAAGTAATTTGGATATAAATGCTGTAGTTCTGTTAGCTATCCGTTAGCGTGCTGCGCCCTCTGCTGGACAAACGCTGCCATCACCATGACAACACAAGCCCCAGATTGTTCTTTTATAGCCTTCTGAAAGTTGAAAAAAAAAAAAAAAGGAAACTCCTGTGGTGTGAGTCAGTGTTGTGACATCTAACCGGTTGTGTTTTTGGTCAAAAACCAGGAGCAGATCCTGAAATCACAACCACAACTGGCCACCCCGGAGCCCCCAGGACGACCGACCCAGGCCTGGTCAGCAGGACCTTCAGCACTACGACAGGTGAGGCTTTTTATTTTTCATCTCAAAACTGGTTTTGAGACCGTTTCACTATCTGTGGCTTTGCTGATTCGTTGTGTGTCTGTGGGTTTTAGTTCCGGTGAACCGGCCGCCTGTGATCGTCTCCCCTCTGAACGGCACCGTTTTTGAAAGTTCACACGGTAAGCCACCCCAATATGAACAGGTGAACATCAGCATCCCTAAATATACACTAAGAGGATCCAATGATAGTGTTTGGAATCCATTAATAAAATATTTTGAAAAGCTCGAGACACTTCCTGAGAATCCCTAAGAGGAAACCATCGAAATCTGATGGCCAAAACCTACAGAAGTTAAAAGAATAAGGCTATTCTGTCCCCCTTTGTTAAGTATGGTAGGAACATATGTACATATAGCATGTTAATTAACGTTTCACTGAATAAATAAAGAAATAAAGAAATTCCCTCTGGGATTATTAAAGTATTTCTGATTCTGATTCTACTCCTGGGTTGTATTTGTATTTGTCATGATAACTACTTTTTTTTTTGTCTTTTCTTTATGGTCTAAGATGTATATGTGTATATAAATGCTTCACTATTATTTTACTGCTTATTGATCTTGTGGGTAGACGCACAGTAGTTCTGAGGGGTGTGGGGTGCAATTTGAAATGTTTAAAACTAAACAAAATCTCTGTTTTGTGTTTAATAAAAAGATATCAAAATCAAAATCAAAAAGAACATCAGTATCCCGCATAAAAGCCTAAATCAGACTTGTCCACCTTTGCTTTCAGGCTCAGGAGTGGAGCTGTCCTGTCGGGTGCTCACCGAGTGTCCGGTGGCCGACTCCACTGTGGTCAGGTGGCTGGTCAACGGCCAATCGGTGGAGTCCTCCCCCCTCGACAAGCGGGCCCTGGAGGGCGGGAGAAGGTAAACGTTTGAGTATTCACCCACTGAATGGGACTATAGCTTAACACTGAAGAGCAGACATGACTTTTTCATTCCTCAAACAACAAAAAAATGTCGTAGTTAACCCTTTAAAGCCTAATCCAAGAATAAAACAAAACAGAAAATTACTTTTTTTTTGGTTTGAAGTCTTTAGTTGGACTTTTAACAAAATATGTAAAAGAAAAAACAGTAATACATTTTTAATATTAATAATTTATTACCAATTGCGATAAGTCAAGATTCTTTTTTGTGTAGTCTTCTGCCCCCTGTTATCAGGTGTATCTGATTGTGTACAATAGGGTTTTGAGCAAAATTTTTACCATTAAATTATGCAAAAGGAGTCAGACACAAAACAGTTCAGAAACAGAATCAGATATACTTTAATAAGTATTTCTGATTCTGATTCTGAAATACTGATTCTGAATCAGAATCAGAATCAGATATACTTTAATAAGTAGCCTATTTCTGATTCTGAAATGTTTTGCGTCTGACACCTTTTGCATAATTTAATGGTAAAAACTTTGGTACGTATCAAATATGATACATTTGGCATTACAGGGTTAAAGAAACATTTACATCCATTCGTCTTCCCACGGTGAATGTGAAAGCTCACAAACGAATCCTCTTACTCACGCTCGTTTCCTCTCTCCCCCGTTGCCAGGGTAACCAGCGGGGCGGAGGGATGCTGGATCGAGCTCCGGCTGGCCGTGGTGGAGATAACGGGCGGGGACGAGCGGGCGGAGGTCAGCTGCTCGGCCCGGAACGGCGCCGGGACGCGGGAGGTTTTCGTCCGGCTGCAGCTGGAAGGTAAGCCCAGGTTACCCGCGGTTACCCGAAATGGTTTTTATTTTCGGGGGAGGTGCTGACAGAGTTTGTCTTCCGGCAGACGCCACCCTGACGTGGATGGCGGTGGCCGCCGTGGCGGGGTGCTGCCTGGTGGGCGTGGTCTCCATCTTCCTCTGCGTCCTCTTCGGGCCCAGGAGGAAAACCAAGATGGATTACTTCCTGGCCCGGCAGAACAGCTCCGTCTCCTTCTAGCTCCTTGTGTTTACACACTCCTACAAAACAAACAAAAAAAAGCATTTCCTGTTACATCAACTCCTCCTCGGACAGACTATGAATGTTTTGAATGTTTCCAGCGTTTTGAATATTGTGTGTGCGGCAGTGGCTCCTAGTTCTGAGCATAGATAGATAGATAGATAGATAGATAGATAGATAGATAGATAGATATTCAAGAACTATATTATATTACTGCAGGGGGTGTCAAACTCTAAAAAAAATTAAAAGACAATACCAAATTACTTGGAGAGCTGGCCCCTGATATTATACTGTACAGACCATTAACGGCTCGTACTACAACTCCCATAATACCCTGCTGCTGTTCAGGACAGGACCCAGAAACTCCTCTGTGACAGTAGCTACACACTACAGGTGTCACTGTGCTAAACTTCCCAAAAATGACCAAAAGAAAGGCAGGAAACAGGAGCTTTCTGGACAAGCCAATTTGATTTTGATGTTTAATTCAGAAGGCTGCGAATAGAAAAATGTTTTAAAATTGTATTTCATAAATGAATGCAATTTATGTATTTTTATTTATTTTTTTATTTGATTTAGCATCTCCACTATTAAGTTATATATAATGTAATAAGAGTTGCTTGTTCTATATTCAATGTTAAAGCAAAATTAGTTTCGTTCCATATTAAAAGGTTAATTTGTTCAATCTTTGTTCAGGTTTTAAATTTTGGCCCTCTGTGTTTTTGAGTTTGACACCCCTGGTTTAGAGCATTAGACTGAAATCTGTTTGTAAACAGGAAGAACACTGCAGCTAAAGTCAATCTGTTTATTTAACTGAATTACTGTAGCTCACAAGCATATTTAAAAAAGAAACCTCGAGTCTTTGGGCTGGCTGTTTTTCCCTGAGATGTTTGGATGTTTTGTAAATGAATTAAGGAGGACACTTTTCATGTGGACCACGGGTGGTTTGTAAAACACTGAACATGTATGTTAAATTAAAACAGCACTGATGACCTCATCTTTTCCTTTAAAGTCGCCTTTGTTAATGAGCCGAGTTTGTCATCTTTAAGTGGAACACGTGTCCCTCCTGAATGGATTATCGGACACACACTCCATCACATACAACACTTCCTAAATGGGAGCTTTTCCTGGACTCGTTCAATAGAAACCCACAGGAGGAGTTTGGAGTTTATCTCCTAATCAAATATTTTTATTTATTTTGCACTTATAAAACAATGAACAAGTCCACAAACAGCAACCCCAACATAAAGAATTATAAAGTGATAATAATAACACAAAAAAATAAAATAAAAAAAGTAAACCTGACAACTTACAGAGTTACAGAGCCTGTGAATCAATTATTTCCCAGTACTTCAAGCAGGGAACTGTAAGTAAAAATTATTTAGAAATGTCTGCCAGACCTTATAAACTCTCTGGGTTGAACCCCCGATCGTGTGTTTCAACTTCTGGAGCTCATCTCTAACCAGGAATATGGATAAAATATGGATAAAACCTGGAATATGCATCAGAAAGTCATATAGATAAGAACTAGATTAAAAATAGGACTGTACAAGTAAAGTTTACAGCAGGGGTTTTCAAACTCTGGCCCACAGGCTCGTACTACAACTCCCATAATGCCCTGCTGTTGGTCAGGACAGGACCCAGAAACTCCTCTGTGACAGTAGGAAACACTACAGCTGTCACTGTGCTAAACTTCCCAAAAATGACCAAAACAAAGGCAGGAAACAGGAGCTTTCTGGACAAGAAAATTTAATTTTGATATTTAATTCAGGCGGCTGCGAACAGAAAAATGTTTTAAAATTGTATTTCATAAATGAATGCCATTGATGTGTTTTTTTTTTTATTTGATTTTGCATGTCTCCACTATTAAGTTCTATATAATGTAATAAGAGTTGCTTGTTCCATATTCAGTGTTAAAGCTAAATTTGTTTTGTTTCATATTAAAAGGTTCATTTTTTTAGATCTAGGCTCGCGACTTTGTTCAGGTTTTAAGGTTTTTTGAGCTTGACACCCCTGGTTGAAGGTGGTTCGATCTCGAGTCGCCACAAGAGGTCTCACTGTGACGGTAATATGAACCCCAAACAGCTCTGGAGGATGTGGATTATACTGTCTGTAACACAAAAATTGGGATATAAGGTAATTTAACCCTATAATGCCAAATGTATCATATTTGATCCATACTGTTTCTGAAATGTTTTGCATCTGACATCTTTTGCATAATTTAATGGTAAAAACTTTGCTCAAAATCCTATTGTACACAATCAGATACACCTGATAACAGGGGGCAGAAGACTACACAAAAAATAATCTTGACTTATCGCATATTAATAAATCATTAATACAAAAAAAGTATTTCTGTTTTTCCTTTTCACATATTTTGTTAAAAGGCCAAATAATGAATTCAAACAAAAAAAAAGTAATTTTTCTGTTTTGTTTTATCCTTGGATCGGGCTTTAAAGGGTTAAAAACATATTTTTTTTTAATAAAAAGTGCAGAAACTGCTGTGTGCGCGGTGCGTTCAGGGTCAGATGAGGCGAGCGGGATCCGGCCCGCTCTCCTCCCAGCTGTTGCTCAACAGATTGCTTCATCCGCTGGCTTTCAAAAGATTCCTGAAAAGGAAATTGCAACATGTGCTAGAGACTCGGCAGAAGAGGAACTTCGGAGCCGGGAAGCACGACTCCTGCTTCGACATGCTGCCGCTTTTTTCCTTTTTTTAAAAAAGCCTCGAAAATGTTTCTGCCGGACTTCTCTGTGGCCTGAGGAGGTGGGAATATCCCGACGACAGCCTGGTGAGTCCGGGGTTTTAGAGTTTACTACGGAGGGGACGGGACAAGCTAACAGCTCCCTGGTGCTGCTTTACTGTGTGGGACACACACATGTGGATGGGAGGTGGGAGGTTCAAACAATCCAAAGATTTGGGAAAACCGTTTTGGTGAAAGATACACCACAAGCCATTTTTATTAAGGAAAGCCTTAAGATTACAACTTTGATTTCCACTCAAATTCACTAAACTCTTCAGTTGTTGGATGAAAAACAGGACAAAAAAAAAAGGTAATTTGTCTGGGAGCTGCTCCGAATTCTTCGTGGTTCTTAGATTTGCTTTGGTAATACTTTTCAAAGCGTTTTCATCTGGAAACATCAGGATTAACTTCTATAACTACCTATAATCAAATAATAACAAGTTGTTTGCTTAAATAGGCTTTTTGGAATTTTTCTTTGACCTTTTTTTTTGGCTAAAAAACTGTTGAAGAAGCATCTTTTGTTTGTAGAACAGAAGCCGGGTAGGACATTTTTATAAAGGAAAGCCTTAAGATTCCGGCTTTGATTTCCACTCAAATTCACTAAACTCTTCAGTTACTGGATGAAAAACAGGACAAAAAAAAAAAAAAAAGGTAATTTGTCTGGGAGCTGCTCTGAATTCTTTGTGGTTCTTAGATTTGCTTTGGACCTTCAGGCTTTAACCAAACAAACCCACTCACATAATAACTCACCGAGTTAGCAGGGTCTCTGCTCCAAACTAACTCAATACTACATAGAAAAACACACATTTGTCGTATTAACGCTAAAAGATGGAGGCAAATAGACAAATGAATACCCTTTTTCCTCATAAAAAGAAAGAATTAATTTTCTCTGCAACGTTTTTAAATAGCCAGGAGAAGAATCTATAAATACAAATATAATAATGAATGCAGTGAAGACAGATATGAGCCCAATCTGTGTGTAAGAATCCAACTTTATGTCCTCCGGAGATCCCTCCATGTTAAAGTTTAAAGCCTAGAGAGGACGGACTGGGCTTTGGGTTGGTGTGAGGCTGGTTGGGTGTCCTTCCACTTAAGGAACCAGCAGCTTTTACGAACCCGTCGATGGAAATTATTTCTGGGCCTGTGCGTCTGTTTTTATTTAAAAGAATTATTGCGCAATTTCTGTGTGAGAAAGACTCAAACGTTCGTGTGAACGTGCATCGGGAAGAGCACATGACCCCTTAACCCTATAATGCCAAATGTATCATATCTGATACATAAGGTTCCTGAAATGTTTTGCGTCTGACACCTTTTGCATAATTTAATGGTAAAAACATTGCTCAAAATCCTATTGAATACAATCAGATACACCTGATAACAGCCAGTAGAAGACTACACAAAAAAATAATCTTGACTTATCGCATAGTAATAAGTTATTAATAATAAAAATGTTTTTCAGTTTTTTCTTTTTACATATTTTGTTAAAAGGCCAAATAAGGAATTCAAACCAAAAAAAAAGTAATTTTCTGTTTTGTTTTGTTCTTGGATCGGGCTTTAAAGGGTTAAACATGCAGCCCACCGGCCCCACGCTCAAAAAGGGAGAAAGAAAATGTGGTTGGGATGGTGTTTTTTTTTTTGCTATAGGAGTCGAGGTTCTGTCTCCACGCTCAAAAAGGGAGAAAGAAAATGTGGTTCTGAAAGAGTGATGAGTCAGGACTGACTCACAGATCTCCGTCCAGAGCCCCACCTGAGCCAGGTGTCTCTGGATTTAAACGCCTCCGCGGCTTCGGTTAAAGCTCCCTCAGGTCTCCGTCTGCTTTAATACATAAACACGCAACATGCTATTCACACACACGTGTAGAAAAGGAGCCCGGAAGCTTCCCGTTTGTGGTCCGAAGGGACGGTTTCTTTCCTCCCTAACGATCAAATCCGGAGTAGACTTAATGGTGTTGTTAGGCTTGTTTGGAGTGTGTATAGAGAAGGGGAAAACTTGGATTTATTACAAAAAGATAAGATAATAAATAATTGCGGGATAACAAAAAAGAGGGATAAAAATGGGATAACTAAAGACAGAACAAACCAAAGGACAGAGTAGCCTGGAAACAGAAGGATGACCAAGGAGCAGAGCATGTAAAGCAGGAATATCCATCCATTATCGTTACCCCTTATTCCCTAATGGGGTCATAGGGGGGGTGGAGCCTATCCCAGTAGCCAATGGGGAGAGGCGGGGTCACCCTGGACGGTCCCCATTCCATCACAGGGACACACAGAGACACACAAGGACCAACAACCACACACACTCACACTAAGGGCAGTTTGGAGTCCAACAACCTAACATGCAGGTTTTTGGACGGTGGGAGGAAGCCGGAGAACCCGGAGAGAACCCACAGACACAGGAGAACATGCAGAACCACCCAGAAAGGTCCTGGTTCCCCCGGGACTCCAACCCAGAAC